TAGTTTCCTTAAAAGCAAATCATGGTTCACCGTGTCAAATGCCTTCGAGAAGTCAGTGTAAATTGAGTCAACCTGACACCCCCTCTCGAAGGCAGAAATGATAATGTTTGAAGAGCAGTAAAGGAGAATGGGCAGTTTTGCCCCACTTACCAATAGGATTAAGATATATGCCAAATGAAAGATATCGGTAAAAAGAACATTTGTTTTTATTATGACTTCTCTCAATTGTCTGTCCGTTCCGAGTTATACAGTGTGTCTACTTAAGTTGAAACCATATGGAAAACTTTTTTAATATTGGTTTTCTGAAAAGAATATTGTGATAAGAAGTTCTGCATGGTACAAAACTTACAATGCATTCTTTAGATATCAATTTTTTTTAAGCCGTATACGAGGTTTATGAAAAAATACGAATTTTACTCAAGAGTAAAGTACCTTATTTTTAAAATACAGAAGAATGTTATGAAGTAAGGTAATTTAGAATTAAAAGTTATATTCATATATGCAATTGCAGTCATTTAGCTTTAAAATTCAGGTTAGGTGATTATTTACGTTTTACCTACATTGTAAATTATTTTTAGTTATAAATGAATAATAATCAAACCTGAATTTTAATGCTAAATGGTATAATTGCATATTTTTAATTCAAAATACCTTTATTTTATAACATTCTCCTGTATTGTAAAAAATAAAGTTACTTTACTCTTGAGTAAAATTCATATTTTTTGACAAACCTCGTATATGGCTTAAAAAGATGATATCTGATGGTTGCATTTTAAGTTTTGGGCCATGTAGAACTTTTTATCACATATGAATTTTTTCACAAAATCAATAATAAAAGTTTCCCATATGGTTCCAGCTTAATAGTGTTTGGTGCTGCACAAAAAAGCTTGAAGGGTCGCACAAACAGCTTGGAGGATTGCGCAAAACAGCTTGGAGAGCCGTACAAAATAGCTTGGAGGGCCACATGCAGCTTAAGTAGAAACACTGTATGATAGTGCATGTCACAAAACACAGGTTTCTTTTTGTTAAAAATCCCCTTTGTTAGCTCTAAAAGTTCTTTTATTAGTGGGTGCTGGTATAAATTCTGTCCTCCCCAGGCTTGCCATGGTAACGACTAAACAAACACCCAAATCCCGTGGTGAGGAAATGCGTAGTTACCAAGTTATATGATTTAATTAAACTTTAGTTTAGCTGTTATCAGTTATGGGAAAACTGTTGCCATAAGGACGCTTGTTATGGTAACGACTAAACAAAAACCCAAATCATGTGGTAAGAAAACACGTAGTTGTCAAGTTATAGATGATTTAATTCAGTTAAGGACTAACTATTGCCATAGAGATACTTATCATGATAACAAGTAAATAAAAACTCAAATACCGTTGTGAGGAAATGAGTACTTGCCAAGCTATAGATGCATTAATTATAGTTTAGCTGAAATCAGTTACGGAGAAACTGTTGCCATAGGGACACTTATCATTGTGACAACTACACAAAAACTCAAATCTCGAATTAAAAAAATGCATAGTTGCCAAATTATACATGATATAATCTAACTTTAGTCTAGCTGAAAGGCATTTTCCATGCAAGCCATGTACTACCTAGCATGAGAATTGCCTTCTACCTATTACTTTTATTTTGTATTGATATTATATTGTAATAAGTAATTAAAACGGTTGTAATGTTTAAAAAATTTCAATGTTAATACTTTTTAAATAGAAACTTTTTGAAGCACACTGTTAATTCCAAAATATTTTTTTAATTAGAGTTCCAATAGATATTGATCTTTCTGTATAAAAGTAATTTGAAAAAATAATGTCATAGTCTAGACCAGCCATACTCAACCTGCGGGCCGCATGTGGCCCTCCAAGCTATTTTGTACGGCTCTCCAAGCTATTTTGCGCGATTTTTCAAGCTGTTTGTGCGACCCTTCAAGCTTTTTTGTGCAGCACCAAACACTATTATTAGGAATGACTTACAGTCCTTTTTTGAAACAAATTGTCTCAAAGCTTATTAAAACAACATGAGGAACTTTTTTTTGCTTTTGTGCTTTATTTACATTTCAAAAAGATGGCAACGCTGGTTATCACCCAAAAATATTGTGGCCCGTGGAGCATAACAAACAGATTTATGTGGCCCGAAAGAACAAAAGGTTGAGTACAGCTGGTCTAGACCGACGCGTATAAGATGCCCCACCCTGTATGTGCTACAAATGGCTTTATATTCGTTCTTATGTAAATGGGGTAATAATATTTATGATCGTATTATTATTTTAGTCCATTACATTGGTCTTGAACCATTGGTCCCGGTCCTTTGGAGAGCATGTGTGGGACTGTGTATCCAACACGTCGAGGCCATTTGGTAAGCAATACACGTGGCGGATAAAATCCTCGACAGCATCATATGAGATACCCATATATTATAATTGTTTATATATTACTAAGAAGTGATAATTACTATTATTTTCCAGTAATAAGCACTACAATAACAAAATTACGCTCTGACCTATCGTGCAATGAGTTACATTTAGGATGGTATAACTCGGAACGGACAAGTAATTGAGATGAGTCGTAATGAAGAGAAATGTTCTCCTTAAAAAGATCTTTCAATTGATATATAACTTATCCTTATTGGAGGTGGGGCAATTTCCTATACATTTCTGCCCATTATCCTTTGTATTAGTAGACTTACCTCCCATAAACCCATGCTGTTGTTCAATCAAAATGTTTTTGCAATGCCATGACAAAGGTTTATATAACAATAATTCTAATAATTTAGGTATTGCAGAAAGTAAAACTACAGGGCGATAGTTAACTATGTTATCTTTCTGACCATTTTTAAATATGGGGGTAATGAAACTATCACGCCATTTTGCAGGAAACTTTTGTAATTCCAAAGAGGAATTAAATAAAAACTGTATTGGTTTGGAAAAAGGTTTGGCTCATCTACAATATCTTTCTTATAAACACTGGAGAAATGCGTAGCAAACAAATTACTGATGTCTTTCCCATTATCAGCAATTGTACCATTATAATACAATCTATTGGGAATACCATGGTCTTGTTTCAAAGAATTAATGTGGTTCCAGAAGTATTTTGTATATTCACAAACAAATTTTTACATTGAGACCGAAGGTTAGAAAAATTTAAGTAATCAACAGCTGAGCGAGTACTTTTGAATACAGCATGAGCTGCCTTCTTGCGAGAAATCAACTTTTTAAGTTCAGCTGAAAACCATCTAGGGTATACTGATGGTTTATATCTCCTAACAGGTACAAATAAAGCTAATGCCAATTTTAAAATCTGATAAAAAATTTCAACACTAACAACACAAAACATCTTCGTCAACTGTGCTAGTGAGCGAATTATCTATTGTGTTAAAGTGTTAAATTAAGTGGTAAAAAGCATATTAAAAATATTAAAAGCTATATCAAAATGTAGCTAAAATTAACGTGAATCCAAAGGGGATATTAGTGGAAAAGTGTGTTTTAAAATAAGGCCACAAACTGCATAAATTGAAGTTGTGAGTGTATTTTTATTTCATTTTCTTCTAACATTTGGTAAAAAAACTGGTTACTGATTAGAATCGAATTTGTTAAACTATTATTGTTCCGGCACTGACAGTGGCGTATCATTTTTTGAGGTCAAGTATAGCTTAACCGGTTGGTAGTGAGCCAAAACCGCCTATGGCGGAACCCGAAAGGGTAGCCAAAGACACCCCTACAACGATAAATAATCCAGAATTTATTGATTCACTATTCTCTAGAAGACGCAAGGATAGAATAGATAAACCGAATCAAACACCAACATTAAATATCAGCCCTGTACACGACTCAAGGAGTAGAAGCGACAGTTTTACACCCCTATAAGCATGTAAGTACCCCAAACGTAAAACATGCTCGACCTAGCTCAAGATCCCACTCCAGAGGGGATCCTAACAAAAAATTCTCGGAAAAAAATAGTATGGAGAAAATTTCAACTGGAAATAAATTGGACAGACACTCAGGACCTGAAAAAGCCCATACAGTGACTCGCATCCAGCGCACAAACGAAGCCGCAGCCGCTTTGAAGAGCGAAAATTCTCAAAAAAGTATGGAGAAAATGTTTGAAAGTGCGGAGAAAAAGTGCGAAAGTATGGAGAAAGGTGTATCACCTTTCCACAAACTTTCTAAATCGAGTGTCGACAAAATAAGTGACACGAATCCAATAAAGAGCCCGGATGACTCCCCAGACAATAATAGCTACGAAAGTGCCAAACTCGCCGCTAGATAATACGGTAATAAACTTCTCAAAAAGTTTGGAGAAAACTGCGGACGAAATTATTATCGAAACCGCGAAGAAGGCAGAGCAAGTGCTTGCTGAAATGGCCGGAAACATTGTAAACAATGCCTCTGAAGGCCCCGTGAGTGAACCAATATCGGTTAAAAGTGACAAACTTAGTAATTTCGAGTCGGCATATAAAACCCTTTCTCTACCGTCTTCAGTGACAATGCGTGTGCTTAACTTCGGGACTAATAGTCAATCCTGCACGTCCAGCGAGGACGAAACCAGGAGAAAAACGGCATACTCAAACAATAACCCCGCGATTGTGACCGAGAACGATATAAGAGTGTTTACAGGTGCGAAACCCGCGGAATCGACCGGCGCGATCGCGAAAAACATTAGTCCTCCCTCTTCCACCCCCGACCCTAAGAGGAAGAGAACGCTAGAACGTCCCCAAATCACGAACGAAACTGTAGGAAACGAAAAAATGGATACCAATGATGGTCTAGGGGAATTTAAAACCCCCAAAAAATTCTCCACAAACTTTATAAACATTCTTAAAAAAAAGCGGCTAGATCTATCGAGATCCAGAATAAGTTTCAAGTGTTGACAGATACAGACTCAGACAATGAAGAACATGGTGCAAATACACAAAGGCCCAAAACAAAAACAAGTATCCAAAAGAAAACAGAACCCAAAAAGGTAACAGAAACACAAAATAATGTAAACAAAAAATCAACTATGCCCCCTATTGTGGTCGAGGGTAGAACCGATAACCACAATAATCTCAAAAAGGATCTTCAAAGTATTGTGAAGGGGAAATATACTATCAAGTACACGTCTAACTCCACCATTTTATACTTAGAGGACGAACAAGACCATAAAAATCTTCTCGCCAGCTTCAGAGAAGCCAAAATTTCGCACCATTCATATACAAGTAGAGCCGAAAAGTCGCATGCGTTTGTGCTAAGAGGGATAGCGGAAGGCACCACCCTCGAACAGATAGAAGAAGATCTAATGCTATCGTATGACATTAAAATTAGAGACTCTTACAAAATGTCTACGAAAAACCGCCCTCTCTTCTTAATTGTAACAGACCCGGCCATCACCCTTGACTTTTTAAACAAAAATATACGAGTGGTGGAGAACACCAGGGTAGTTTGGGAACTACGAAAATCTGTTAAAGTGATAATACAGTGCCATAACTGTCAGGCGTGGGGACACGCCACCGCAAACTGTGGACGCCCCCCAAAATGCCTCAAGTGCGCCGAGGACCACCATACTCGATCCTGTCCAAAGCCTAGGGACACACCCGCAACGTGTATTAACTGCTTAGGAGAACACCCAGCAAATTACACAAAATGCTCCGCCTACCTTGAGAGAGTCTCCAGAATGGAAGAAGGAAAGCTTTAAGTCAACCAAAAAAATATATTCAAGCCCCACCCCCAGCGGTAAATGTTTGGAATAAGAAACCCTCAGGTACCAACAGAACCAACCAAGAAGATTTTCCACCCCTACCGACCAGAAGATCATCCCAAAACCCTCAACAAACTTCACAGCCTCAGAGACAGCAACAGCCACAACAACACGCATCACAACACAATCAAGCGGAGTCAATGGATGACATGTTTGCCCTGAACGATGAATTTACAACCCTCAACAGTTTGGTAAATATTGCAGAACTCACCCGAGCTGTGCGAGACCTTAATAATTCCCTTAGACAATGCCGAGACGACCGCGACATATTCACGACTTATAATAACTTTGTAAAGAATCTCAATCAGTACAAATTTAGAAATTAAATTCAATAACTCACACAAAGTCAAACTACGAATCTGTTTTTACAATGTGAACGGGTTGTTAAATAAACGCGGTTTAGTAACAAATTTCATTCACAAGCATAAATTCGACATCATAATTATAACTGAAACGAACCTCAAAACAACTGACAAATTCAAAATACGAGACTACAACATTTTACGACAAGACAGACCTGAACACCACAGACACAACGTACGACAAATGGCAGCGGGAGGGGTAGCTTTCTTTATAAGAACCAACCTCACTTTTAAACATCTTCCTAATGCAAATACATTCCCTCACATAGAACACATCATTATAAAATGTAATAATTATATTTTTATAGGAGTGTACAGCCCCCCAGCCAGAAGGATTCTTGCGGCAGACATGCATGCCCTAATGTCAAAAGGTAACAGAGTTTTTCGTGCAGGAGACGCGAACTGTACTTATGCGAACCCATCAGGTAACATGCTGAGAGATTTCGCCGAGGACAATGAACTTATCATTCACTATACGGACGAACCGACTTGCACCCCATTTAATGGAACTACCCCTAGCACACTGGACATCGCGGTCACGAAAAACATCCATGATATTAAAAACATTCGAACTATAAGTACCATTAACTCGGACCACGACCCAGTGTGCTTGGAGTTAAGGATAACACAAAAAATTAACAGACAACAAAGACAGTACTATGATTACAAAACAACGGACTGGAACAAATACAGACAAATAATAAACAATACGTTAACACTCAATAATAATATACAAAGCCCTGAATTGCTTGAAAACGCCACAAAAGACTTAATTCAAACTATACAAAAAGCTAGAAATGACTCCACAAAAACTAAAACAACTACATTACACAAAGACATACTGCCACCTGACATCATAGAACTTATATCCAATAAAAACAAAATACGAAAAAGGTGGCAGCTACACAGGAGAGCGGAAGACAGGGTTATGCTAATGGACATAGCCAGGTACACTAACACTCGTATAAACGAACATAGAAACAAAATGTGACAAAAAACCCTGTCTGAAGTGAAACCCGGAGACAATTCATTGTGGGGGGTTGTAAGAAGGTACAAAAAACCCAGCTCACCACTTCCCACAATGAACCAAGGACAAAATACTCTGACAAACGATAATGATAAGGGACGAGCCTTCGGCGAATATTTCCAGCGTAATTTCACAAATCAGTACGTAAATAATAATAGACAAAATCAAATCGAGGAACTCGTCAACGATGTAGGTGCATCAGACCCAGTTCACGTCCCCCACTCTTTCATGACCTCTCCTAAATAGGTAGGGAATGCACTCAAGCGACTCAAAAATAGAAAAGCTCCGGGACCGGATGACGTTAGTAATATATTACTTAAAAATCTTCCAAAAAAGGGGGTTGTACAACTCAACTACATAATAAATGCAATCTTCAGGTTACAACACTATCCGAGTTGCCTGAAGATTACAAATATTATACCAATATTAAAAAAAGGTAAAAACCCCAAAAATATAGAAAGCTGTCGACCCATCTCGTTGCTAAACACAATATCAAAAATTACTGACTCAATTATTTTACACAGACTAAAAAACATCGAACAACGACTAAGACTTATCCCGCAGGAACAGTACGGGTTCCGAAGGGGACATAGTACCGTTGCACAAATACTAAGAATAGCTCATTATGCCAAAGAGGCCACTAACGTCAATAAACAAACGGTACTTGTCGCACTTGACTGCGAAAAGGCCTTCGATTCTGTCTGGACCTGCGGGCTAATCCACAAAATGCTTGTGAATGATTTTCCCGTACATATTGTAAAGACAATTCACTCTTACATAACGGACAGACAATTCAACGTAAAGATCAACAACACAACGACAGGACCATACATCGCGCAGGCGGGAGTGCCCCAGGGCTCAGTACTTTCGCCGCATTTGAACACCATTATGACCCATGACATGCCAATGGGTAATAATGGGGTACAAACGGCACTGTACGCCGACGATATTTGTCTGTACAAAAGCAACCATTCAGCAGAAAGTGCCCTCAGGACACTGGACATCCATATAAACAGGAAGTTAGTCCCCTATTTAATTAAAAACAAAATTAAAATCAACCCCCAAAAATCCGAGAGCATGCTCATCACTAAGCGAAGGTCAAGGGGAGTTCATATACCGCTCAATATTCAGGGACAACAGGTAGACACTAGGAATAGCATGGCTAAAAGTCATATAGCGATAAAAACTCTTTATCCTCTATTAAACAGGAGGAGCAAAGTCACCCTGGATAATAAACTTTTAATTTTCAAATCCATCTTAAGATCGATATTAACATATGGATGTCCGGTCTACTGCTCGATGGCCAATTGTCACTATAACAAACTGCAAATTGCACAGAACAGATGTCTTCGGCTAGCACTGGGCTACGACCGCTATGCAAGAATTGAAGACATGCACGTACAAACAGAGACTCCACGAATCAAGGACTATGTACTAAAAACAGCCGAAAATTTCTAACTGCGGTGTCTCCCCGATAATGTGAAAGATGACATCTTTAGCATCTATCGCGGGGACGGCGTACGTAGAAAACACGGCTGTTTACACGCGAAACTGGACATATACAGACACAGAAACATACAATAATAATAACAAAATACAATAACATTCCTCCTTAACGATCCCAGACAAAAGACAAACTAAACAACAGCTCGCACCGACTAGTTACTCGCGCAAACTAGTCGGACGGTGGACTGAACGGTAGACTGGCCATCGAAGCAACAAGCGTGAAATCCGAGATTGTTTCCAGTTTACCTAGGACTCTCACTAGGTTTTGTTGCGATTAATACCCAAGCGGATTTTTTCAAAACTAGCGTTTGACAGTAGTCAATTTATAATTAAATATTTTCCTAAAGTTTCCCCACGCCAGAGTAAGTTGTTTCTATCAGAAGAAGGGTCAAATCCCATGCCAAAGCCCGACAGGGCACCACAAACGCCTACAGAAGGCTTTGAAACCCAATATATGAAGAAAGTCAGAAACAGATGCCGGCTGGATGTATCTGGAATCAACAAAGTTTCACACATGAGCACACCACAAAACATTAAAAGAAAAGTCAAAATAAACCCAGTACAAAACGTGAGTAGATACCGTTTGCCACTAACCGCTCATACTAACACAGGGACCAAGCAACCCGTACAAGGGGAACCCCTGTTCAATTTATTTTCTGAACGACCTTCAAATAACCCTGAAGAGTCTAACTTACAAGGAAACCAAGGCATAGCAGAAGGCTACCCTGCAGGGGCCCCTCAAAGTGACTCGGAGCTCCCCTTAGATAAAGGGAATGTAGTAACCGAAAATCCCATCAGTATGGAAGAATCTAACCCGGAAAGGGCCAAAACACCCCCTATTGGAAGCGATAGCGAGGGAAACAATGCCGATTATGACATGGACACTGAAAAAGTGTCTTCTTCTTCTGAGGAATCCGATGATTCGGGAACAAAAACGGCGGTGGAAGTATCCCCAGTAAGTAGCCCAGAAATTGCCCAAACTGGGACACAAAATCAATTAAACCCCACACTGGAGAATTTCAACTCAGCATATGTTACAGTGGCCGCTAATGATGAGCTCAAAATTACAATCAAAGCAACTGATGTTCCGGAATCATTACGGAACAACATAATGAATTTCAATGTTAGCGAATCTCAAGACAAGGAGTTAGGTCTAAAACAAACAGTCCATCCCGAAATTCACCAAATCCCTGAACAACCAGAAATGCTCACTCTCCCCACGGATGTCCCAAATAAACCCAAATACCCACCCCCTAAACCAAAAGATCCCGAAAACCCCGAACCTAAAACCAAAAGAATACAAGAAATAACATCCCCAAATAGTACTTTCCCATTAAGACAGTCGAAAAGAACCAGAAAAGACCAGGAAGACATGGAAAAAATCGATACCATTGTGACGAATAACACTGATAATAGTAGAGCTTTCGTAACCCCGGAAAAAATCTCACCAAGCCTCAGGAGAGTTGTGAGGCAAAAAGTCAAAAACACACTGCCGATACAACTAAAAAACAGATTCGAGGTTCTCACTGATGAATCAGACGCAGACGACGAAGCACCGGATGAAGACGATACAACGGTAAAAAACAATAAGGTAGCAGAAATGCCCAAAAATAAAAGCAAAGGCACTACTGCCACCAAATCCACCAAAAAAAAAGGAGAATATGCCCCCCATAGTGATGGATGGCACCACAGATAATCATAAATCCCTTATGGGTATAATGAAAAAAATAATAAAGGGCCCATTTAACGTGAAATACACGAACAATTCAACCATCATATTTACAGAGAACAGAGAAGACTACGACAATGTTCTCCACAATATCAAACAGGAAGAGGTACCGTACCACACCTACACAGCTAATGCAGACAAATCACATGCGTTCGTAATCAGAGGGTTAGGTGAAGGCACCTTAATAGAAGACCTGGAAGAAGAGATGGAAACTGAGCACGAAATTAAACTCAGAGCAGCATACCAAATGTCTACAAAAAACAGACCGCTATTTCTCGTGATAACCGACCCCTCAATAACCTTAGAATATCTTAACAAAAACATAAGAGTGATATTAAATACCAGAATAACGTGGGAGCTTAGGAAAAGCAACAAACAGGTTATACAATGCCATAGGTGTCAGGCTTGGGGACATGCCACCTCAAACTGCGGCAGACCGCCGAAATGTTTAAAATGTGCAGGAGACCACATCACAAATACCTGCCTAAAAACCCGGGATACACCGGCTACTTGTGCAAATTGCGGAGGGGACCACCCCGCAAATTACAGCAAGTGTGAGACTTACACAAATATAGTAGAAAGAATGGCTGATAGAAAGCAAAAAATTCCGGCCAAAAAATACATCCCGGCACCAGTCCCAAAAGTGAACCAATGGGAAAGAAGAAAATCAGACTACAATAATAGAGGCCAAAGAGAGGATTTCCCACCTCTTCCAACAATGAGGCAACAGCCAAGCAGCAGTCAGCAACAGGCCATCAGACAACCCACAATCAACAGACAACGCTCAACCGAGCGTGGTCAAACAACTCAACCACCTGCCATGGACGACATGTTCGAACTCAATCGTGAGATGAATGAATTGTATAATCTGGTAAATATCAAAGAATTAACTAGGGCAGTAAGAGATCTAAATAACAAACTTAGAGAGTGTCAAAACGGAGGAGAAGTCTTCCTCGCATATCATAACTTCATGTCTCAAATCAATAATTACAATTTCAAGAATTAATTTCGCGGACACCTCTAAGCACAAATACAAAATATGTTTTTACAATGTGCATGGGCTGCTTGGCAAATTACCATTGGTCAGTAACTTCATTTACAAACATAAATTCGACATAGTAATATTAACGGAAACATACCTAAAGCCAAAACACAAAATAAAAGTATACGACTATGACATCTACAGACATGATAGGCCTGATACAGCAGGTGGGGGTGTAGCTTTCTTAATTAAAAAACATATTAAACACTCAGTTAAAGCTAATGTTTCAATCAATTTTGAGCATGTAATAGTACAGGTAGTTAGTATAACGATAGTAGGTATATACATAGCCCCATATACTGGCGCTCAAAAAATAAAATTAAAAACTCAGGACCTACATAAACTCTTGTCGGTAGGTAACAAAGTCCTATTAGTAGGAGATTTTAATAGTCGTCACCCTGAATGGGATTCAAATTGCACTTACCCCAATGCAAGTGGAACGCTAATAAAAGAGTACACAGACAACAACGACATACTAATACATTATACCGAAGAACCGACTTGCTTTCACTTTAACGGACTACTACCATCTACTCTAGACCTTGCACTAACAAAAAACATCAACACAGTACAAAACATGATAACTATACCAACATTAAATTCAGACCATGACCCAGTTTACCTAGAACTAAGAACACATAACATACAAAGACATGAAAACCAATACTACGACTACAAAAACACGGACTGGACAAAATACAGGACAGCTCTGGACAAAGAAATTAAAATAAATAACAACATAAACAACACTAAAACCCTTGAGACAGAGACGGACAAACTAATTAAAGCCATACTTAAAGCCAGAGAAATCGCAACAAAAATAACCAAAATCAAACTACACCACGAACAACTCCCACACGAAATTGAAGAACTAATTTCCAACAAAAACAAAATTAGGAAAAGATGGCAAAGTAACAGAGACACTGACGACAGAATAAGACTCATGGACATAGCAAAAACAATTAATACAAAAATTAAAGAATTCAGGAATGTAAAGTGGCACAATAAACTAAAAGACTTAAACACAAAAGACAACTCCATATGGAAAACAGTAAAATACTTCACAAGAAAACGTGAACAAATACCCACTCTGGAACAAGGACAGACAAAATACGAAACGGACGAACAAAAATGCCAAATATTAGGGGAAATCTTCCAAGATAATTTTACAAACAAAATAAAAAACAATGAAGCTCAACAAAAAATAGAAGACACAGCTGACTGTATAGCGAGATTAAAACCCCATAAAATACCCAATCACCATCTAACTAATCCCGATGAAATAAAAAAAGCCATAAAAAGCCTAAAAACCAGAACAGCCCCGGGGCCGGATGGAATAAACAGCATTCTATTAAAAAACTTTACCAAAAAAGCATATGTTCAATTCTCATACATAGTTAATGCGGTACTAAGACTACAACACTACCCTAAAAAACTAAAAATGGCACACATAATCCCCATTAAAAAACCAAATAAAAATGGTAAACTAGCTGAAAGCTACAGACCCATCTCTTTACTAAGCGCTGTCGCAAAAATTATAGACAAAATAATAAAAACTAGACTTTTACTAATTGAACAAGACCTAAACATAATTCCGCGGGAACAATATGGGTTCAGGGAAGGGCATAGCACCATCGCGCAAATAATTAGGATCGCGCATCACGCGAAAAAAGCCATTAGCAACAAAAAACAAACGGTGCTAGTCTCACTAGACGCGGAAAAAGCCTTCGACACAGTTTGGACCCGCGCACTTATACATAAAATGTTTGTAAATGGATATCCTGTACACATTGTAAAAACTATTCAATCGTACCTACAGGACAGGACTTTTTACGATAAAATTAACAAAACCATCACAGGACCATACATAGCATCTGCGGGAGTACCTCAGGGTTCAGTACTCTCGCCGCACCTGTATATCATTATGACCCATGACATGCCAATGGGTCAAAATGGTATACAGACGGCGTTGTACGCCGACGACACCTGCGTGTATAAATCTTCAGATAATGCTGAAATAGCCACAAGAAGATTGGACATCCATATCAACAGAACGTTAATTCCCTACATGGAACACAACAAAATGAAGATCAACGCATCAAAAACAGAATCTCTCCTAATAACAAAATTAAGTACTAAAAGAATAATAACCAAACTCAAAATCAAAAATGAAATAATTGAAACAGGCAATTCGTTGAAATACCTAGGCTTCCACCTTGATAGGGGATTACCGTTCCAAAAACATATTAAAGACAGAATAGCGAAATCCATAGGGGCAATTAAAACTCTTTACCCCCTCCTACACCGAAACAGCGGAGTAACTAGTCAAAATAAAAAATTACTCTATAACCAAGTTATTCGCCCCACTCTCACTTATGGATGTCCAGTCTTTTGCTCCATGGCAAATAGCCATTTTCAAAAATTACAAGCAACACAAAACAGGTGTCTCAGGCTAATTCTGGGGTGGGACCGCAGATCCCGCATAACGGACATGCACGCTGCGACATCGATGCTTCCTATTAAAGACTTCACCTTGGCAACGGCCGAGAGATTCTATAAAAACTGTCTTCCGCCTGATGTGAAGGAAGACATACTAAGTGTAAATGCCGGAAATAGCGACAATAGGAAGTATGGATGTCTACACCAACAACTAAAAATTTACGGACAACGTCAATAAACACGTAAACGAGACAGACGTTGACATGGACTCGCCTCAGAAACGAAATACTAAAGTGAAAACTCAACGGCCAGTTTATACGTACTCTGGTCGGACGGACGACTGAGTGGTGGTGGGGATCCCTGGGTCGGAGTACTGAAATCAGTTTACCTAGAGCTCTTCTAGGCAGTAGAACACCGCTCCGTAGTGAATTTTGAGTTATAGTGACTACGAAACCGATCAGTCGTATTGATAAACAATTATAATTTTATATTTAAAAGCGCCAGAGTGAGTACAAACACTAAACCGGGAGTTCCGTGACAAATGACGGAGCCCTCCGGGCACGACCCAACTAAATACGGGACACTATACTCGCGTAGAGTGCGTGACCGTATTGCAGCCGCCTCCAAACCTGCTAAAGTTACAGTGAACATTAATGTGTCAAAAAAGCATGCAGCCATCCAGAGCCCTAAAACTTTTAAAGCAAAACACCTACACCCATACAAGAACGTGAGTACCAACAAGCCGAAATTAACAACCACTAACACAGAGGGAGCAAATTCACCTTACAGAAGGGACCCCCTGGCCAAAAATTCTACCCAGAAAAGCTTGGAGAAAGCTGATAGTAAAATCTCGACAGACACTTCAAAAAGTTTGGAGAAAACTAACATATATTTTATCGAAACACAGAAAAGTTTGTCGAAAACAAACATAAACGAAGTAGAATATCCCAAAAGTAAGGAGAATACAGGCGTTCAACAAAGCTTTGAGAAAGCTGATAGCAAAATATCGACGGACTCACCGAAAAGCTTGGAGAAAACAAACGTATATGAAACAGAATCACCCAAAAGTTTGTCGAATACAAACTTAAAAGATTCTGAAATACACAAAAGTAAGGAGAAAACAAACATATTATCTTCTTAGAATTCTCAAGAAACTTTGGAGAAAGCGTACGACGCTCTCACAGAACCGGAAGACCAAGCTGATTCCGAAGGCAGTGGGAATATTTCACCAAACACAAGTAAGGAAAGTACTGAAAGTACGGAGAATACTGATACGATTATTAGGTCTGACCCAAATGAAAGTTTGGAGAACCTAATAAATACCCTAGAAAACTCTTCAGACTCGTCAGAAAATTCAGATAATGGTAACAGAACCGTTTTAGAAATGGACGAAGACAATAACGGGGTCGAAACCCCGAAATCGATAAAAAAATCCACCCATTTTTCGGAGCCACAAAAGTATGGAGAAAATTTTGAAAATTATAATTCCGGCTATATGACACTACAAATGCCAGAACAAGTAATAGCTAGATCGCTGAACTTTATGCAGAACTCCACACCATCAGAAGACGGCACCATAACACCGGTAGACACCCCCAATCTACCGAATACCGGTGACAATACACCCACAGGCGCAAGCGCAATCCCAAAAAAGGATGCTAGAACAAACCAAATCAGCCAGGGACTAGGAGTTAGCCAAGCTGGGGGCGAACTGAGTAATTTCCGGTTTGGCTATACACCTACCCCTAGTGATCCATGGAACAACCCCCAACCCTCAAGTTCACGTAGCGCCACAGGATCCAGGGAAAACAACACATTCACAAAAATACCAAGTGATCCCAGAATAAAAATTGGTGTCATACAATCCGACATACCACCCAACATTTCTCAAAGTATAATGAACTATAAACCAGGAAATATAACCTCTGAGGAAGAAAATGCAGGTGCGTATGGGGCTTCAACAAGCAATAACACACAAGAAAAACTACCCCACTCACTCAATAGTGTGTTCCCACTAAGGACATCAGGAATAGCTTCCCCACCTGAAAGAATGGACACATACCAACCCCCTACAAATGAAGTACCATTTCAAACCCCTAAAAAGTTCAGTGCTAACTTTCAGAAGCTTATTAGGGAAAAGTCCAAAAAGACTATTACAACCACCCAAAACAAATTTCAAGCACTTACAGATATGTCTGAATCGGAATCATCAGAGTACGAAGATGAAATTAAAAAAATAGTCAAACGAAAAAGGAAAATGAGAAAACAAAGGGAAGAAAATCCTGACAACAACGTAGCACAAACCCATACGAATGCAAGTAATGTAGTAAAACCCACGGAAATCACGAAAACAAGCACCAAACCAAATACGATACAAAACACCCCCAAAAAAAGACAACAATGCCACCTATAGTCATTGAGGGCAAAACGGCTAACCAAAACCAACTAATAACGGATATTAAAGATCTAGTAAAAGGCAATTTCAGTGTAAAGCACACTAATACATCTACCATACTATTCGTCGAAGACAAAGACGATTATGAGCGTATGATCAAAAGCATAAGAGCCGAGAAAATGCCATTCCACACGTATACGTCATGCGACGATAAATCGCATGCATTCGTCCTTAGGGGGCTGGCAGACGGGACAAAACCTAGCGATATAGAGGAGAACCTTATCGAAGAATACGATATAAAACCACGTTCCATATACCGAATGAACACGAAAAACCGACCGCTCTTCCTGGTTGTCACTGACCCCACGTTGACACTAGACTTTCTGAATAAAAATGTTAGAAGGGTGCTATACTCAAGGATAACATGGGAAATCCGAAAATCCATCAAACAGATTATACAGTGCCATAATTGTCAACAGTGGGGTCACGCAACGGCCAACTGTGGCAAACCGGCAAGATGTGTGAAGTGTGCAGGGGATCACCACACACGCACATGTCTCAAAACACGAGAAACACCGGCAACGTGCGTAAATTGTGGGGGTGATCACCCTGCCAATTATACCAAATGTATAAAGTATACAGAAAGATTAGACAGGCTGGAAGAAAAGAGAATCCAACGACCACAGCCTAAAAGATATGTACCCGCCCCACCGCCTGCAATTAACCAATGGGCAGGCAGAAGAACACTCACTGGTAAAGAAGACTTTCCGGCACTGCCCACTCAGAGGGCAAATACAAGGTTAAAGGCCCAAAATGTAACTGAAGCAACCAACCAAAACAGAGTTGTGATACCAAACCAAACCACAGAAATTCCGAGAAACAATTCACAGCAGACCATGTCCGATATCACAGCCCTTAACGACGCATATGCGGAACTGAACAGCCTCGTAAATATCGGAGAGCTCGCTAGAGCGGTAAGGCAACTAAACACACTAATCAGACAATGTAAAACTGGACAGCAACTCATAGAGACATATAATAACTTCATGACAAACGTTGACACTAACTTCAACCTTAGAAATTAAAGAACTAAACAATTACACTGACAAGCTAAAAATTTGTTTCTACAATGCAAATGGGATGCGCAACAAAACCACTCTTGTTCGCAGTTTCATTCTCAAACATAACTTTGACATCATGCTCATTACAGAGACGCACTACACACCGACAATGACATTCAAAATACCCGAGTATGATGTCATCAGACAAGACAGACCCGACCAAGCATGGGGTGGGGTAGCTTTCATAATCAAAAGGGATCTAAAGTACTCTCAACTTGACAATACCACCATATCACAAGAACACCTAATAGTAAAAATTAATAACATTATATTTGTAGGCATGTACAACCACCCTCTCAACGTTTTGAGCAAGCATGAACTCACGAAAATTATGTCATTGGGTAACAGGGTCATGTTGCTGGGTGATCTCAATAGCAAACATCAACACTGGGATGCCAATTGTACCGTTTCCAACACCAGTGGCAGAAACCTTGACGAATTCGCCGAGAGCGAAGATTACATAATTCACTATCCAGAAGAACCCACCTACTTTCCATTTAACGGTAACACGCCAAGCACACTGGACATTGCCGTAACAAAAAACATTCCTAACGTCGACAATGTACGGACAATTTCGACCATGACCTCGGACCACGACCCTGTATATCTGGAAATCAAACACAAAAGTGCGATTCCCAGATTGCAGGGACAATTCCACGACTACAAGACAACTAACTAACTGGAAAAAATACAGGACAATACTCGACGAAAACATAACAATAACAAACGAAATAAATAACACAGACACACTCGAACAAGAATTCTATAAACTCACGAACGCCATCAAACTTGCAAGAGACAGATCCACAACACTAATTTCCCACAAAACAAAGAAAGACATACTACCGCAAGACATAACAGAACTAATAACCTACAAAAACAAAATACGTAAACGATGGCAAGTAGACAGGTTAGCCGAAGACAGGGTCAGACTCCAAGAAATAGGCAAAATCATAAATAATAAAATTACTGACCACAGAAATGCCAAATGGAAAGAGACCCTGGAAGCGGTTAACCCACAAGACAATTCACTGTGGAAAGTTCTGAGGCGGTTTAAAAAGCCATACTCGGAACTTCCCGCACTGAAACACAGAGACAAAGTGTGCTTGACGAACGATCAAAAAGGTGCCGCTCTCGGCGAGTACTTCCAGGATAACTTCACCAATAAACAAGTCAATAATGACAAACAAAACGAAATTGAAAACATTTGCAAAGATATCCGCGAAATGAACATACAAAAAGTAAAACCACAACACTTAACTTCCCCTAAGGAAGTAGCGAACGCTATTAAGAGATCACCCAACAAAAGGGCTCCGGGACCCGATGGCATACCTAACATTTTGCTTAAAAATCTATCCAAGAAAGCCATCGTACAAATGCACTACTTAATTAACGCGATTTTTAAACTGCAGCATTACCCTGACCTTTTAAAAATAGCAAATATAATCCCCATCCACAAGAAAGGGAAAGATAAAAATAAAATTGAAAGCTACCGCCCCATCTCCCTCCTAAATGGAATATCCAAAATTGTCGATAGAATTATACTGAACAGACTCATAACGTACGAACTAGACAAACCAATCATTCCGTCTGAACAGTACGGTTTTAGAGCTGGACACAGCACCAACGCACAAATAATCAGAATTGCGAATGAGGCAAAGAAAGCCTACAATAAAAAATTTCAGACTGTCATGGTTGCACTGGATGCTGCTAAAGCTTTTGATACCGTCTGAACAGACGGATTGATATACAAAATGTTTGAGAATGACTACCCCGTTTTCATTGTAAAAACAATCCAAACTTACTTACACAACAGACAATTCTACATTAAAATCAAAGACACAACTAATGGACCTTACACAGCACGTGCTGGTGTACCACAGGGCTCAGTGCTGGCGCCGCACCTGTATACCATCATGACGCATGACATGCCAATGGGTCGTGATGGTGTACAGACGGCGTTGTACGCGGATGACACCTGTATCTATAAATCCTCATATTCAGCCGAAATTGCACTCAGAAGGCTGGACATACACGTGAATAGAATAGTGGTTCCTTACTTCGAGGAAAACAAAATCAAAATTAACGCGGATAAAACCGAAAGTTTAATATTAACAAAACGCGAATCAGACGGGATAAAAAGTAAAATTAAAGTACAAGGCAGCACAATCAACATGAACAGCCATATGAAATACCTCGGCTTTATCCTAGACAGAGGACTCACTTTCAAAAGGCACATAGCTGATAGGAGCGATCAAAACACTATATCCGTTGCTCCATAGGAAAAGCGGGGTAACTAAGCAAAATAAAATTTTATTGTACAAGCAAGTACTCAGACCTATTCTAACTTACGGTAGTCCAGTCTTCTGTTCTATGGCCAAAACTCACTTTGATAAATTACAAAGAGTACAGAACAGGTGTCTTCGGCTTGCTCTGGGGTGCAACAACTATGAGCGAATTACAGACATACACACACAAGCATCCGTGGAATACATCAAAGACTTTGTAATTAAAACAGCAGACAAATTTTACAAGCACTGTCTCCCGGACACACTAAAGGAAGACATTTATTCACAACATGAAGGTGACGGTGCTACAAGAACCCACGGATGCCTACATCAAAACCTAGACATTTACAAAAGACATACAGACTGACCGATGCTACTAACTAGCTCGCAGCAGCGAGCATTACACTGAAATGCCAAATCACTACGACCACTAGTTCTTAACGGTGGTCGGACGGAAGACTGCACGGTGACGTCACCGACTTGGCTGAAATCGTCGTTTACCCTTTGGACTCACCAAAGGCAGTTCGTCGTCGTTTTGTGCTCTCACTAGTTCCGAATTGTGACACCAGGTTTCTAACCTAAAACCATTATATTTTTCATTCACATATCGTTCGAGTTTGCCAGGAAGTATTAACAATTAACCCCATACAAGGAGCGACAGCTCTATGGTAGAGCCCTCCGGGGCAGACCCCCTCAAAAACTTTAAGGAATATCCCACAGTATACTCCCAACGACAGAAAATCAGATGGAAACATACAGAAGCGCTTAGAGGCATATCAAAAATCCAAACCCCAGAGTCTTTAAAAGCCAAATCAAAACGGAAAGGATCATTAACAGTGAGTAGGAACACTCTATTGAACCTAACAACCACAAACACTAATCCAGGGATCAGCAGCCCATTACAGGGGGAACCCCTGCTCAAAAATTCCCCGATACGACCTCTAAATGACCCTCAAAGACTTCTAGAGGAAGTATACGGGGACCTAAACGAGTCTTCAAGCTCGGAAGACAGTATGGACACCACTGTAATCAATACAGAGCAAGCTTCTTCAGATACTAAAACTCCCAATGGTACAAGCACCTCCTCCTAAAACTCCCCAAAACCCATGCATAAAGGGAAACCTGGAGAACAAAGCAGAGACCATTGAAAATACACTCAATCCCCAAGACAGCGCTCCAGATTGCGCCAAAGTGGGAAATAATACCCCTAACTACAGCCGCAGCGCCAGTGATAAATCAGAAGAATTTATGGATGCGGACGACAGCACTCCTACAGGAGAGAACATCGCCCTGACAGATTCACTACAACCTAATCCTTCAGGGCTGTCCACCCCCAACCCCCCTTCTGAAAACAACCCCTGTCCCCCACCATTAACGAATACAGATCAGGCACAGAATTTCCAATCTGAGTATGTATCTCAAGCCAAACATCCGACGAAAATCGTTATAAAAAGGGTTGAAATGCCCAAAGGGGTTGAAGCCAGAAACCTAAATTTTGGTACGCGTGTCGATTTGCACCATATCACACCTCCCCAAACTAATCTCGGGGCAATCCCGAAAAAATTTACTCCAACTTTTCAGAACAAAAGTATGGAGAATCTAAACACCG